TAAATATAGTCTCATTTTTTTAATTATTATTTATTTTATTTTAAAATTTTTATTATGTTTTTTTAATTTTATGTGTCGATATTTTATTGATTTAGAAGTTTGGTTCATTATTTTTTTAAAATTTATTTTATGTGAGATCAGTTTTGAGCTCCTGACCAAAGTCAAGAGTTTTAAAACTTAACACGACCTAACTTTAGTCTCTTTTAAGTTTTTTTTTAATTATTATTTTATAATTTTATTTTTTAATATTTGATTTGTCGGGAATTGTTCTTTTTGTTTTTCATTTTCAATTTCCTTTCCAAGAGGTAATCACATTATTGTAAGGTTAGCAGATTAATCCAAGTTAACTTATTTTTTTGTTTTTTGTTTTTAGTTTAGCCTTTCAAAATTAGGTTATTTAATAGTTAAATTTTATAGTTTTATTTAATTTATATTTTACGAGACTATTTCAAGAGCATAATCAGTTTATAGAGTTAACATGTTAACTCCAAGAAACTTTGACCAATTTAATTTATTATATGTTGTTATATTTTTTTGTTAGTTTAAATATTCCTGTTATATTTTTATTTATATTATTTAAATTAATTAATATTATTAAATACAATTAAGTCAATAACCTCATGCTTAAACTTTTTATCTATTTTATAAATGTCTGGATCGCATTAACGTTATTTTTTTATACTGAGTAAAACTGAGCTCGTCCCGCCACTAGCGCGGCACTATCTAGTTCCAAGTCAAATCGCGTGAGATCACGTTAAGCAGATCTACTCGTTGAGCTAACACCAAGAGTTTTTTTAATTCTGTCCTGGAACCGAACTCTTAATGCTGTTTCGAGAATGATAAATATTTTAATATTAAACTCTAGGTTACAAATGGTCTTGAAGCCCTGTTTTCCTTTTCCCTTTGTTTTATATTCCCAAGCCGCCCATTTCCAGAGTCCAGTGCGACGCCGTCTCGCCCTCTCCACCAACTGTGATCGCGGATATTGTAAGCAATGAAACCTATGATAAGCTAGAACCTGGAAGCCTCCAGGAACCTTTCAACAATTAAAAAAGCCAGAAAGGTCTGTGGATTTTCCTTTCACCGCTTTCGGAGCTGCTATCTATCAGAACGGGAAAGGAGGGATTTAAATATTCGGTCTTTGACCCAAAATGCCAGCTTATCTTATGCAGATATGGTGGCACCTTGTCATGCTGATCCCCATGTGAAAAAGAAGCGAGAGCGTTTCGGCCAAGTGGATCTCTTCTCAAGTTATCCATGGTCACTGGTTTCTAAGCAAAGCCCGTATGCAACGACAGAGCGTACAGTAAGCTAGCAGACCGGAAGTTCTCACTCCAGTGTTTTTGTTTGAAAAATGCCCGAATAGAATTTAAAAATAAAGTAGTTTTCATGTAAAAATTACACTAAACAAAAGTACATAGCAACGGACTGATTATATGGATCCAATTACAAAAAAATGACCGTATGGTTATCCTTTTTATTTCATTCCATTTTTATATCATCCTCGGATAATATAAAAAAACTAGATAGAATGATGAATAACTCGTGTATTGTTGCAACTAGATCTAAATTCTTTTGAATATAATGAATATGTCAAACTCATACTATTTTAAATTTGATTAGCTGTTAGGATTCAGGTGTTTAAAATTTGATGAATATGTTAAATTCAAGTATCAAATAATAAAAACACCTCTGTATATAATCCTGTTTTTGTTGAAACTCAAGGATAAATTTATATTTGAATTATTTTAATAAAAAAACAGTAAAGTCCCTCAAGACATACATATTTTTTCCCCTTTGCAGGGGCATGACTATATCTTCACTATTTTTTTAAAAAAAATACAAAAAAAAAACCCAACTTAAACTTAAAATCTTGTGCCTTGAAGAGCAAATCAAAATTTATACTAGAGCTTAGGAACCAAACCTCATGTTGTCCTAAATTATTTTTTTAATATAAAATGTATTTCATGAAAAAAATAATCTTACCCTAGCTACACGCTTAATAAGTTTTTTTTAGTGATCACACTTACATAATTAAACTGCTCTGTTTCACAGTAATAATATATATTTAAATAAACAAAAAAATTAACAGTAATAAACAGAACTCTTTTAATTTATGTTATAGTGATACACTATTTCTATCGTGTGGAAGGATTCTACGTCCACGTGGGGGATTTATAACTCAACAACGTTGAGTTGTGAAGTTCAATCAATTGAATCTGCAAGTGAAAAAAAAAAAAATAGTAATGCAGAAGAGAAAACAAATAATTAAACTTCCACCTTTTTAAAAATCTTGTTATCATGTGTATGAAATATATTTTTATTTGTTTTTGTGATTTAATTTTTTAAAAGATTAAAAAAATATTTTTTATTTGTTTTAAATTAATATTTTTTATGTATTTTTAAATCATTTTGATATATTAATATAAAAAATAATTTTTAAAATATAAAAAAATATTTTAATATATTTGTAAATAAAAAATATTTTAACAATTAACTATAATTGTATTTTCAAAGATGCACACTGTGTCTGACAGCCTTCCTAGCTCGCCTCGACATGTGCAAACCAAGTCTAGGATAAAAAAGAAGAAGAAGCAGCTCTTATTCCAACTATTTTATTTCGGACTGATTTTCCCACGCCGAAAAATTTCAGTGCCATCTTGTAGCCACTGCAAAATTCAACACTTTTCCTAATGCCCTACTGGGGCCATATCCAATTAAAAACACAAGGCCAAAAGTCTACATCTTCGGGGAGAGGAGGACCGGATACCTCGAATTTAGGATCCAAGACGTGAACATTAAAAGTAATCAAGACTAGGACTGGCCATTTTAAAAAAGGTTATTAGAATATATTTTGTTTGAAAAATTTACATGGTTGATGCACTGATAAGTATATTAATTACTGCGGTTTAAATAGAAATTTATTAGCATTTTTTTATATTTTTTATTGTTTTTATACTAAAATCAAAAATAAAATTTTAAAAATAATAAAAATATTTTAATACATTTTTATACAAGAATCAATTTAAAAAACAATCACAATTTTCTAAACATCCTCTAGGCCTGGAATGCAACGGTCACTGTTTTTTTTTTTATGAATTATGGAATGTATTGTTAATCTTAGATTCTTGAAATAAATCACAATTATTAAACTTCGTTTCAACTTATTCACCAAACTACTTTAATATCAACCTAGTTAAATTCAAACTATCTAATAAATTAATCTCTAACCCGACTAAATTTAAAACCAAGCAAATCAAGATTAATTGTTTTCCTTTAAAATTTAAAATAATATTATTTTTATAAAAAATAATAAATTTTAGCTAATATAATAACTCAAGTTATTTTTTAAGTTAAAGTCGTAGACAAATCTAACAATAATTAAATAAAATATTTTGGCCTGAAATTAGACAGGGAGGAGCTACGAATAACAATAATTCTGATCTCAAGATTTAAAAAATATAGCAACCATTTTTTATTATTAGACCTGACATTATAATTAACAGATAACCTATTAACAGTACTAATCACACATTGTTAAGACAAGAATTTCTGATTTAATATACAATGCCAAACACACGCCACTTATTAATCGCTAGATAAACTTTTGAATTCCATACAAAAGCTATTACATTTGGAAAGGGGGCTAAGCCATAGAAAGAGAAGTCAGATCACACTCCGACGACGAACTGATGTTTGCAGAGGAAATATAATTGGCTGAAGCGTTTATTTTTTAAAATATTTTTTATTTATAAATATATTGTAATAATGAATTTTTATTTTTAATATTTGGTATAAGAAAATAATTTAAAATAAAAAATAAAAAAATCAATATTTGGTGTAGGAAAATAATTTAAAATAAAAAATAAAAAATAAAAAATTTATTTTATAAAAAATACTTTTAAATTATAAAACTAAGGCCAGAAAACTAATGCAATTTTACTTGTCGAGTACTGGTCTCCAAGATAGCCTCTGATTCTACTTGGGGTACTATTATTTCCGTTGAATCATCGCAAAATGGTCCACTTCTTAAATGACATCAATGGAATATTTTTGCCGTTGCGGTACTCATTCAATATGTGATTTGATAGTTTAACAAGCCACCAAATTTCATGGGTCATCGGAAAATGGACATATTTTTTGAATCACTAGCTTAAATTATGAGTAAGTTCATAATAGATAATTTATAATATTTTTTTAATATATTATCTCAAATAAAAGATTTTTTATTTAAAATTTATATTATTTTTTATTTAATTTTTATCAAATAAAATAAAATTGATAAGATTTAAACTTGTTATTATTTAATTAACAAGATTCTAGTAAGTTCATAATATATAATTTATAATATTTTATAATATATTATTTAAAGTGAAAGATTTTTTTTTGAAATTTACATCAACTCTCTTGATTTTATATTTAATTTTTATAAAATAATGTTTAAAGTGAAAGATTTTTTTATTTGAAATTTACATAAACTCTCGTGATTTTATATTTATTTTTTATAAAATAAAATAAAATTTAAATTTATAATTATTTAATTAATAAGAATTTAATATTATATTACAAAATTATTTATACTAAAAATTTAAGTTATTAAATTAATATAAATATTTTTATATTGCAAAATTATTGCTTCCACGTTCCTTGCGGCCCGTATTGTTTTCAAACTTTGCATGCTTAAAGTAATATTCAAGCGTTCACACTAACGATAGGTCCCCCAGCTTGTCTATAATTTGTCATGGTCTGTTAATAAATTGGACCTGTCAGTCTCCAATAACCAAAGTAATTTTGCCTTTTGTTCCATTATATAATTTTTTTTTAAGCTGGGCCCTGAGTTAGCTCAGTATCCAAAACTCATAAAAAAAAGTAAAATGAGTAACATACTCAACCAACATTTTTAGTGGCTCTTGCCCTCTTTCAAGAACAAAATGACTAACATGGATTAATGGTAAGAGGTCTCGCCATTACTTTTGCAGCTCTGTTGTCCAATAAGGTAAATGGATTATTGACTTATAAGTTTATATAATGATTGGAATTTGAATATAACATTGCATTTCCGGTGCCTCTTGCACTCTTTCAAATTACCTCTACGATAAATTCTACTAATAATTTTAAAACACGGTTTAATCAGTCAACTTAAAATTAAAATTAAAATAAATAAATAAATAAATAAAAACTTGATATAATCTAACAAAATCTAATTAAAAATTTAAATATAACACGTTAATTTTTATTTTTAAATTAAAACAACATAATTTTAATTTAAAAAATTTAATTCTGATAACCTGATTAAAATTCAAAATTTAAATTTTAAACCGGACCAATCACTAAATTGAACCTAAAAACTATAATCCCGACATAAATCATGTGTCTGGCTTGTTCTTCCCATGAAAACAAAGGTAAAAAAAACCAACACTTCGCCAACTATTTGAGTAGCCAAGTCAACAAAATTAAAAAATTATTTTATAACTCCGGTATAGAGTAAGTTATTATTTGATCTATATTGTTAATGAAATAATACTTAATTCCTTTGATTTTAAGAAAATCAATCCCAAGTTCTTATATTTTCATATTTATTTGCAATCTAATTATTTTTTAATTGTTTTTTTGCTAAATGTCCTTTGTTTCTAATCAAATTTTACAATCATGAGACCTAGCATACAAAATTAAAAAAAAATATATAAAGAATAAATTATAATTTACTCGAAAAAACAACAACGTTTCTTAAGAATCGGCATCACTATGGAACTAACTAACGCGACTAAACTGAAGCAATTTTTTTTTTAAATTCCATGTTTATTAGTTCTAAGTTTCACCCCGGGAGTATATAGTTCAATATCAAGGAGCTCAAAAATCACTTCAATTCCAATCGATCGAATCACAGGTTGGAGAAAAGGAAACGAACAAAAACAAAATTGATATCATATTTCACATATAGGAAGATAAATATGGATGGATCACAATCCACTCTGTCTCCTACAGTCAAACATCTACGCTATGTATAAAGAAAGAAGCAATCATGAAATGTGATATGGCATGCTCTAATAATCAACTTTCTGCTTGCACTTCTGTGTCTGAATTTGCCGAGACGTAATATCAAGTGCCATGCTGCAGTTCATCTTCACACCAATATTCCTCTTGACAGTCACTCTTTTCATCCTTCCTGGAACTCTTGTGTAGGTGGTCATGGACAATAGCCCAGAGATAAAATCAGCATTCAAATTTGGGTCTCAAATGATCCTGTCTGGGATGATGTCCACGGTGACATTCAGTCTCATGGTCCATCGGGCCCTCGCATGGTCCGGTCCGTTTCTAGCCTCACCAACCATCTGGCCATGGTAATAGAGGGTTGTGGTGGTGTTACAGTACTTGAATGATGCTAGGTTGGGATTTTTTATACCGGTACATATTCCGCAATTAGGGACATGTTCAAACCTGGCTTAGGAATTGTGCCACTGGTTAGCTCTAGCTGAGTGACCGCAACACCGTTCATTTTGAAGATCGGGTCCTTGACACGAAAGGCAGTGAAACGCATAACTACGATCGCTATGACTAGTATAACAAATATGGCCGCGATGAATACACAGCATTTTCTACTTCGTTTCTTATGGTGTCGAGAAGCTCCTTCTTTGTCGCTGCTCTGGCTGTCCGCAGCCGGGGCTAGTGGCCTTGCCTGCTCGCGTTCGCCCATTTGGCTATCGGTTGAAAGGGCGTAGCAAATAAGGGATGTTTACATAATAATTTGGAGTTATGAAAATATTATACTATTGTAATCCGTAATAATTTTACTCTTTGTGTATAGTGTTTGGGCTGAGCATTTATAATCATTTTTTTTAACAGGTCAATTGTGAACCCATTTTAGCCAGCGAATTGCTGGGCTTAAAAGTACTTCTTAAATACTCCTCTGCATGGCAAGTTATCGAGAGGAAGTTCTCATAGACCATGGGCTAATGATCATGGCTAAAATTAAACCAAACCAATTTCACCAAAAGAAAAAGAAAAAGAAAGAAAAAGTACCCACCCAGTTTCTAAATTCTGATGCATTTTGAATCCCATTCGCGCTTGCTTCCGGTGTCACAACAGGCATACAACACTGATTGATCACTACGAAGAGCCAGTTTCTCGAATCAAAATGTCGAGCACAACAAGCTGCAGTCCAGAGCTCAAATCAGCACTCGAATCTGGGTTTGAGACGAGATCTTCTGAGATGATATCCACATTGTCATTCAACCGCATGGTTCGTTGGGCCCTCGCTAGCATAGCCAGGTACATTTCTAAGTTCAACAACCATGGGGACACATGGTAGATGGTCGTGGAGACTACAATTGCTATTGCAAAAAAAAAAAAAAAAAAAACTGATTCCCATGCCATTTTCACTGTGCATTGTATCTTCAAACACTCTGGATGGAAATAGTGATTTACTTCTTCTTTTTTTGGCCCTTTTTTTTCCGGTAACTGTTTTTTTCTCAATTCATCCCTTATAAATTTAGTTAATTAACGGCTAAGGTTAGTGATTTGATTATTTTAACTTTTCAAGGGTTTCTCTAAGTGTTTTAAAAAATCTCGGGTTAAATCTTCACAAACAAATTCAATTTCCTAGGTTACTTAGTTGATATTGTTATTTGAATATTTAAAAAAACAAAAACAAGTATATTTTAAATAAAAAAGTTGATAGTGTTGCCGGACAATATACTTGCTTTATGCTGCTCAGGGACTTTTAAGTTTCAACTGGCAAATCAACAATCAGGGACCCGGCCTGGCTTAGGATTGGTACCGTTGACTTGCTCTGGTTTTGTATCACAGTCAGATTATATATTAGATGATAGCGCAGGGCCCTTGACTCCTCAACTCGAAAAACAGTGAAGACGATAACTGTGACAAATACGATCGAGAGGCATCCACAACTCCGAACGCATTTTCGTCTTCATCCCCTTCATATGAGTCGGCTTCCTATGTTATGGTCGATGATATTCGAATCTCAAGAGATGAGTTGAAAGTAAATAATTTCTAACGGTTAGCACGGAAAGAAAAATCATGGACCTGAACGAAACAAAAACACATTTCCTTTTATTTTTGTTTTAGCATATATAGTCGTAAAATAGATCGAGACCCAACGTAAAGGAGAGAATTAGAACAGATCGGAGAGGGAAGGCAGCTTGACTTCACCCTTCCAGGAGAGAGGAATGGTGAAATTGCCGACGACAGGGAGGTCAATTGTGAGACCTATTTCCAACTCGTAGTCTATGTCCCAGTCTCTACCAATGTCCTTCACCAAGCTCACCAGTACACTGTGTGGCACCTTCACTGGCACATCTAAGATTGTTGTGTCCTTAGCTTTCAGCGAGCCAGGGTCTGGTATTGTCCCAGATGCGATCACCCTGATCCAAACATTCAAATGGACAAATCAGGTAAAAAAAAATAAAAAAAAAAATCCACATTTATAAATTTTTCATACATGTGGTACAATGATTTAGGGTGTGTTTAATTAGTAACACGGTTGAAATTGTATCTCATAAAAAAAAATATTTTTTATATTTTTAGATTGTTTTGATGTATTAATATTAAAAATTATTTTTAAAAAATAAAAAAAATATTATTTTGATATATTTTTAAATAAAAAAGTATTTTAAACCTAACTATTACTATATTTTTAAATAAATTTTTATTAGATAAATACAAGAAAATTATGGATCAATTTAAAAGCCACTCAATTTTCTTGGGAACATCCACTAGGGGAATCATAATCAAAGGATTTTTCGAGATTTACCCATGTATTTAAAAATAGGTGCCCTTCCATTTTAAGAAGATAGAATCATGTCTCCCTTGCCTTTCTTTCTTTCTTCCCCCCTTTTTTTTATATATATATATATAATAATCGCACTTCCTTTTGAAAAATGTAAGTAATTTCAATGATTAAGAGCTATTCCGCATCATCATGCATCTTCTCGAGTTAATTAACGACACTGAACATTTGGCAATGAGTAATTAATCTCAACCCGAAATTCAACAAATTACGCAATCCAATAGTTTTGTGCAGATCTCGCATGATCGATCTTTGAACAATATTGCACTCATTTTAGATAAAAAGTAATCCAAGATGAAAAAAATATATCAAGAATTACGCAGAAGCTTAAACTGTCAGTTGAAAAACAAAACTAAATCACAGTTTTTCAATGAAAGGATAAATCTGTTGAGACCATGAAAAGGAACATTTGAAATTACGGACCTGCCATCACTTTTGAGAACGTAAGAAATCTCGCAAATAGGGATCGCAGCTTCATAAGGGTTATCGACAGACACCTTTGCACCGTAGTCTATGCTGTCACGGTGCACGCCTTCAAGATTCACGTCGGTGACGGTAGCCTCTGGGGTCTTGACTTTAGCCACCTTCTCTGCCAAAAACTGCTTGGCCTTGCCTAGCAACTCCGACATTTTTATGATTGAAAGAAAACTGAGAATACGATTGATTAGTTAAGAGCTTTTGTTTATTTCCTCGTTTTCGTATGAAATGATGATTTCCCCTTCCCTTGCTTCTCTCTTGCGTTTATATAGTAGGAAATGCATATCTCGACGTGGTTGCTGCGTGTCTCGTCGGCGACATGGGTGAAGCCACGTGTGTAGCTAGTGGGTATCCCCGTGTGTCCAGATCTGTGCTTGCCCTTTCCTTGTACAAGGATTTTAGGAGAAGCCTCGAATTAGCCTTCGACGTATTACTTAAATAGTCATTTGAGTTCTAAAACAAAACAATTCATCAATGACGTCCAAGACCCTTTTTAAAATTCCTGATTGGGTCATTCCGTGTATTCTCACTAATTTTATGCCAGAATTCTTCTTTTTAAGAAACCTTTATATAAAAATATTACTAAGCCCTAAGAAAATGACCTAACTCATCAAAGGTGCTGTTTGGAACTCAATTAAGAATGGGTATATATTAGAGATTGAGGGTTCGCTCAGCATTTTGTTTTTAGGTTTTAAAGAGAGAATTTTTTTCTTGAGAGAAAAGTCTTTGAGATCGGATCTGTCACTTTCCATCATTCCCCTTTTCTTTCCTTTTAATATTCTGAAAACGTCACCGGCCAGAGAATTTGCAGGATGTGCATGTGAATGTCGTTTGGACATCGTCACAGGCAGAGAAAGGATAAATATAGAATGGGTTGAAATTAATATGTTTAATTAGGAATGAAAAAAAATAATAGAAATGCATTTGTTTTCCCTATAATTTCTAAATATATTGAAAAATATAAAATATTATTTCTATATATTCATTTCAATTATTCTCAATTTTTTTTTAATTTTAAAACAGTAACTAAATGCTATTAAAATATAGCTTCACCCCATGTATGGACATACAAGATGCGTTGAACGGCCCCCTTAAATATGGAACAAATAAATATATATGTTACATGTAGACATTTTTTATGCATTAAGTAATGCCATATTCTATTCAATAGGCTTATCACTTAATATATCAAAACAAACAAGTCAGACTTTGTGCATGTGCATGTGCATGTGTACATTGTTCATCCCCTCTCATTTTATTATTTATATCACTTATTATTGTGTAATTTTTTCCTTTTCTTTGTCCCTCAAATTTTTTGTCCCTTCCCTTTCAGTCATTGAACTTTATTTTATCTTAATTTGGCCTTCAAGAATTATTTTGTCATAGTTTTATATTTTGAAATTTATTTCAAATCACGTACTCTCTAACATGCGAGATGTCACACAAAATATGGATGTTAAATGAAAAATTAGTTTTACCAAATAAAATTCTACGTTATTGTTAAAAATGTTAAGAAATATAAGGATCAAAATTAACATAAATAAAAAATAAAGCCCCTTTTCATCTGCATAATTTAGAAGAAGCAAAAAAATTACAGTTTGGTCTCTCTATTTTTTTTATTACAAGTTTGATCTATATTCTCTTATTATTATACTTTTCAATCCTAAACTTTATTTTATTTATATTTTAGTCACTTGTAGTTAAGAAACCAGAGAGAAAGTCATTGAAAACAGCAAATAAAAAAGGTTTATTTGTCCAAATTCTAACAAAAAAAATTAATCTTTATGTTAATAGATTCATCTTGAAAAATGAAATTCAATAATGATGATGAAAATATTGAAAAAAAATAGACTAGGGCCTCTAAAGTTTTTTTATTCAAATATATTTTTTGCTTTTAAAATGATTATAGAGTATTTTAAGATTTGAAATTAATTTATTCAAATTCCAAGAATTTTTAGAGACAATAATTTGAAAATTAATTTTTTAAGTTAAAAAACTTGTACCCCAATTCTGGTGACGGAAAAGGATGGCAATGGATGACACAATATCGACATTGGCACATGAAGTGTTGTTCGATCAATTGCTTAAAAAAAAAAAAAAAACAATAGCCGACCATGTGTCATTTGCCCATTCAATTAAAAAAAAACAAAACAAAGAGAGAATCATTTGCATGAGCCTAGCCTTCCAAGCATCCCTTGCTCCCCCCACCTTTTTCTTAATTTATTGTATAAAATACATTTTTTTTTCATTTCTCAATAAAAAAATTTCATGATATCAAAAAATACAATTACAATAAAGTTAACTTGGGATTCTAAACTTAGTGGGGGATGCAATGTCTAGTAATTAATTATTCTAAAAATAACGTGGGAGGTTTTAGTTAGTGATACTTTCCAAAGCAGAAAAAAATTATTACCGAACCCGTTAGAATTCCAAACTCGAACAACATTATAATTTTTTTCAAAACAAATGAATGTTTTTGAGGTATTATGATATGGTAGTAATTATGGTTTAAATTATTTTTTATTTAAAAAATATTTTTATTTATTTTTTAAAAATTATTTTTAATATCAATTTTTAAAACAATATAAAATAAAAATAAAAATAATTTTAAAAAAACTTGTAAAAACCACTTTCGACCGCATTCCAAACATTTTATGAGAATGACACCGTAACATATAACCAGTATCCCGTCCGTTGTATTCTAAAAGGCTTAATTAATGCGTGATTCCATTCCAAATCAAGGGACGGCATCATTTGTCCTAATTAGAATCTCTGAGCCATAGCTAAAAGCCTTCACCATGCTTCGATTTTTTCTAAAAAAAAGAAAAAAAAAACTGAAAAGAAAAGGCAACGCTGGCTAACGTGAAGAAACTTTAAGGAAAGCATAACGAGCCTTCGTTAGTAAATGTTGCAACACCTTTCGATTTCTATAAGGGGAAAGAAAGAGGAAGCTCTCCGGTTTACTTGTAAATTAATCAACGATGGTTACTTAATAACGCGATCCTTTTTAGAAACTGAAAGCAAACCTCCCTTTTTGCTATTCTTCCGGCGATTTCAAAGGCTTCCAAGTTCTTACAATATGTGGGTGCAACTCTAGGTGACTTGGTCGGTCCAATCTAGGCCCTAATTATATTATTCAAGATAGGTCTATACGGACAGAATAAATGATGAAGCGTGTTAAGGTAAGAAAGTATCACATTATTTTTCACACGTGTTGGGTAATGATAAAAAAGAAAGGTCAATACACAGAAGTGGAAGCTCACCGGCTTACAACAAGAAGGGCCAGTACAGATTATAGAAGTGGAAGCTCACCGGCTTACCTTAAAACTTATATGACAAACGAGCTGGAAGGATACCATATGGTACTGTCACTTATTGCACCGAATGATTTTTTATGTCTTTTTTCTTGTTTGCTTATATAACCTTATTCAAATGAATGAGTCTCTCTATCCGTTCCTTTTTCGGTACATTTAAATGTTGTTAAAAGCTAGTATTGATTATGTTTGTATAAAAAAATAAAAAAATAGTATCAATGTAAGTCATCCAAATTATTTAGCATATTGCTACCAAAATTTACCTACATTTTACATTTTACTGCGGGTCAAATAAAATTTTTTAATTTAATAAAAAAAATCAAATCTCAATCAACTAAATTAAATATTGGAAAATAAAAAAAAACATCAACTTAAAAAAAATTTCAAAGTAAAAAATAAATAAGAAAAAAATTTAATAGGAAAAAAATTAAAAGATAAATGTAAAAAAATCAATTATAGAAATTATTTAAAAAAACATATAATAAAAAAATAAAAAAATTGAAGTAAAAACAAATAATAAAAATATCAAAACACCCTGACTATTGGTGAATAAAATTTTACTTTATAAAGGTAATTTAGTAGTTTTACTATGCATAAAACTAAAAGAGAAAAAAACATCCTCAGACATTAGTTTTTTTTTAAAAAATTATTTCAAAGACAATCTAGTCATATCATTGTACATAAAAAATATAAAAAAATCAATGTGTCCCTTGTAAATATGGTAATAACTTATAACCCTGTGAAAAGATTATATTACCTTTAATAGCTATCTATTTGGTTTGTTTTTAAAAGAGCAAAAATATAATTTTATATTGGATTGCTAAATTAGTTTTTTCATCCCTTTTAGATTTTAAAAAAATCATACATTACAATTTCATATACCTCAAAGCATATAAAGCTTTATATACACACATAAAGAATAAATTCAGACTCCAAATCTTTTGAGAAAATGAAAATATCAATGTCATAGAGTGGATTTACATTTTATTAAAGAATAATATAAATCATATCTTAAAACTTTACCTAACAACTTAAACTATTAAGTTAATTAGTTTTTTGGCATGATATGAAAGCTTTGATGATCAAACAATCATAGATTCGAATCTCATCATTTTCATCTATTTGATTAAAATTAAGTATAAGACAGTACGAGTCTGTATAAATTTTAAATTTACAAGATTTTTACTTGAGAGGATGCGTTAAAGAATAATAAGAAAATATACTCGATTTCTTTCTATTATCTATATCGGAAATGAACCAAAACCTTTATAAATGTTTTATTTTAATATGAATAGTGTTTATTATATATAAACATATACAGAAAAGTAGACTTAAACTTGATGTATAAAAACTTGCTCGGTAACTAACTTGATCTAATTATAAAATTAAAATGAAAAAGGAAATTAAATTAACACACAATATAGTTTATTAGTTTTACATTATATATAAACACTGATTTTGGTCTATTCACACAAAGTCAACCTCGAAAAAAAGCATAAGCACAACAAGGATACTATAATAAGATGGCCAAGAACAGGAGGTCTGCTTGATTTGTTCTTGAAAGTGTAGAAAAGCTGAAGAAGTTAAAACCTAGCAAGGAACTGCATCTGCTTGAGAAGAGGAGTTAGGGTTTCCATCATTTTCTCACATGGATGATTATGAATTCCTTCATAAGTCGTGACGACTATGCTCGTGTCCTTGGATAACCTTTGCACTTGTTTCTTCACGTTGCATGTATGATGTGTACACCGATAGTAACTCCTTTGCGCAAAATGAAATCAAAGTGCCGGAGTAAGAATTATTTCGCAAAAAAATAATAGTTGAAGGAGATAGGGACAAAAATTAATTATGCACTCTAAATTATGTCCAAGATTTGTAAAATGAATAGTGCAAGACCATAAGATAAACCACTTGCTGCATTAAATAAATCTATAATAATTGTAATATATATTCAATATATAGTAATAATGGGATTCATGCATTTATCATTCAAAATATTTTGGTCCACATGACTTCGCCATGGTATAATTTTTTTTTCAATTCGAGATAAATGGTTGATATTTTCAAATAGTTATACGTTAGTATGGATGATTTAAAGGATGTATCCCGATATCAAACAACGTTTTTTTTAGAATTTATTAAATTCTCTTGGAATATATATATATATATATAAGTTGCAGTAGTCTCATTGATTAATTAAGAAAAATACTTTTTTTGTTTCACTGCTTCAATTAATTATCTCTCATCATTTTTATGTTCCTGAATTATAAATATAATGCGTTCATCTGTTATAATCTTGAGAATAATAGTATCAATTAACTAAAATATTACTGTCCGCATTTAAATCTCTGTTCTTCTCATCAAAGTTAGTAGCTCATAATTAAATCCTCCTACAAAGAAATCAAAATATCGTGGAAAGATAAAGATCTGAAAAGCAATTAATAGCATGCGCATGCGTATAGCTATATGATGTTATTGGAAAAATGAACGACAAAACATATATGGTAATTCACAGATATCATGTGATTCACAATTGGCGACAATAATATCGATCCTTTTGGACAATTTCTATTGTTGTTTTCGAGTCGCTAGCTGCCGATCGTGTGGTTGCTTTTCTTTCCGAATATTCCTAACCCTTACCTAGATTTTTATGGCAAAACATAAGAAAGAAACACCTTATAAATCTTCATATATAGATACATTAAATATAAATACGGTAATTTATATATGATTTTAATTATTTAATCGTGTCGATTACAGGTGAATTCTCAAGAATGATCGATGCATATAGTTTTAACTAGCTGAAAAAAGAGAAGGATGTCTAGACTCTAGTCGCCTGCGACTATTATAATTAGGCAATCAACAAACTATCACCTCTTATGTATTTATATATATATAT